ATGTGTGACTCAATATAAGGTAAATTTACTGACAGATGTTTCTTCAGCTATAATGGTTACCAAAACTCATGAGTCAGAAATTGAGATTAAAAACCTGATAAATCTAAGGAACAGAGAAGAGTTAATTGACTGATTTTCCCTCCATGTTTTTCCAATTCACAAGCCTTGGACAAGCCTCTTGTCTCTTCCTATCCCTCTCTAGCAGACCTCCTCAGTCCTCCAACAAATCTACAGCTAATCCTAGTCAGCCAGTTACTGACTCCATCCTTTTGCTCAACGTGGCTTTATTGGCACAGTAGAATGGCTGTGCAACAATTCTCCTGAAACTTTCAACAACTATTTTCCCACTCCAAAGAAGAGCAATTGCCTTGACAAACATCATCTCCAGAATAGACAATACAGTCAGCACCAGGCTATGGCTCAATATTGAGAGTATGCTGAATTGTTTTGACTATTTGGAGGAAGAAGTCAACATGGACATTAGAAGAAAATTCTCACGGACAAGAGATGTGTCAAAGGTTCCACAATGTGCTTAAGAAATGAAAACACAAGAAGAAACAGGAGGGAAAAAAACCAGCTCTTTGTTTTGCATGGAAATTCCCAGGTTTTCGCATTGAAAAAACTTCCTTCTAGAAACTCCATTTGGTCTCCAGGAGTGGTGGTAGTATGTATGGAAAGCATTGAGGGATGAAGTTGGCACTATAGAAAGCAGGAGAACAATAACTGAGCAGATGGGTTCTTGAAAGCCATTCAAATGGATTCTCAATTTGTTCAAGTCAGCATAGGGGTATGAGGCTTCTCAAAAACAATAAAATAGATTTTGTCATGATTCCAAACTAGAAAGACGAATCATATTTCAAAAGACCCCCTGACTCTTCAGCCTTTCACAAGATACTTCTTTTCTTATATGAGCTGTGGTTCATGCTTCAAATTTAAGTGTGCACATCAATCAGCTAATGGTCTTATTGAACTATAGACTCTGCTTCAGTGGGTCTGGGGAAAAGGGAACTGAGGGTCTGCCGAACTAACAAGAATCCAGATGCTGCTACTTCATCTAGCAAGACCCAAGTGCCCATCCCTCCATCTCTTCAGAGGCTCTGTCATCAACTGCCCTCTCTTGCTCTTTTATCTTCAATACTTGTCTTTCCACGAATGGCTTCTTCCACTCTGTAAATTTTGTTCTTCAGTACAGGGTGCTAATTGAAAGCCAGGAGCCTGGTTCTCTCATCTACTACCTCTTTATTCTTCTCCAGTAAGCTATTTTAGGCTTTTCTTATTTATCTGTAAGATGGAAATAGCAGTATTTTCTATTTTGTTGAGGAGAGTCTTTCTCAATCTGTGGGACATTACACCTGGGGATTTGTATTGAATGATCCTTTCTCAAGAGTTGCCTAAGACCATTGGAAAACACAGATATTTACATTATAAGTCATCACAATAGCAAAATTACAGCTATGAAGTAGCAATAAAAATAATTATATGGTTAGGGCATCACCATGACATGAGGAACTGTATTAAAGGGTCATGACATGAGGAAGTTTATAGATGGAAGCTTCTGTCCCATCCAGTCCTACCGCCATTCAGACCCAAATAAGCACACAGATGTTTATATTAATTATAAACTGTTTGGTCTATTGCTCAGGCTTATTACTAACAAACTCTTACAACATAAATTAACCCATAATTCTTATCTTCGTTTAGCCAAGTGGCTTGGTACCTTTTCTCAATAAGACATTCTTCTCTTGCTTCCTCTACATCTGGCTGGTAACTGTGTCTCTGCTTTTCCTCTCCAAGAATTGTCCTAGTCTGGTAGCCCTGTCTATACTTCCTACCTGGCTACTGGACAATCAGCATTTTATTAAACCAATATGAGTGACAAATCTTTACAGTGAATAAGAACATTATCCAGCATCAGAAGGTTGAGAACCACTGTGATAGGGTGCTTTGTAGAGTTGAGTGAGATATGTATATAAAGGTTTCCAGGCATGAATAAGCACACAAGAAGATTGAGCTAAAATGTACTAATTTCCTAGAATAACAGTAACAAATCACCACGGAGCAAGCAGCTGGATTCTTATTCTGTCTGACAGGAATGCATTCTTTCTCAGTTCAGGAGGCCAGAAGCCAAAAAACAAAATGTTAGAAGGCTTGTTCCTTCTAGAATTAAAAAAATATATATTATAATCCGCAACTCCTTTCTGGTAGTCCTTGGTGTCCCATGCTTTTCAGATCAAATGCTTGATTAACTGCCTGGTTTTCTATCTTTTTCCCATACCTGTATGTCTTATATTCCACATCTGTTTGGGTATCTGAGTCAGTGGCTCTCTGGCCTTCCCTAGTGTGGTATGACCTCAGTTTTGTTAATTTCAGTCATAATTCACATAATTAGTGACACTCCCAAGAAACACATTTATTTTAGGCAATAAATAGATGATAGATAGATAGATAGATAGATAGATAGATAGATAGATAATTATATAAGGGAACTTATTGTCCTACTTAATGGGGATTAAATTATTCAACAATGGCCTTCTACATTCATGAAAAGCAGGAAGCTTGGCAGTCTTCATCTGATGCTGAAGGCTAGGAGGTTTCCACAGAATCAAGGTATTAAGTCCATATTGAATGGCTACTACTAGTTACTGTTCCAGTTCTGTTCCTGTGATAAATACCGTGACCAAAAGAAACTTAGAGGAAGAAAGGATTTGTTTGGCTTATACTTAAAGTTCAAAACTAATCATTGGGAAAAACCAGGGCAGAAACTCAAGGCAAGTGGGGGGGGCACAAATCATGGGGGAGCACTGCTTGCTGCTCACTCTTTGGCTTGTTGTCTCAAGGTTCATGCTTAGTTAGCTTTCTTCTATAGCCCAGGACCACCTGCTTGGGAATGGTGTCACCACAGTGGGCTGGGCCCTCCTGCATCAATTAATAGTCAAGACAATTCCCCGACAGATGTGCCCACAGGACAATCTGATCTAGACAACTCCTCACTGAAGGCCACCCTCTCAGATTATTATAGGGTGTATCAAATTGACAAAGATAACTACAGTATGAAATATGACTGTGTATCCATATTTGCAAATAAGATTACATTCTGAGCCGGGCATTGGTGGCCCATGCCTTTAATCCCAGCACTCCGGAGACAGAGGTAGGTGGATCTCTGTGAGTTTGAGGCCAGCCTGGTCTACAGAGTGAGTGCCAGGATAGGCTCCAAAGCTACACAGAGAAACCCTGTCTCGAAAAACCAAAA